AAAAAAAAAAAACAGATTTTCATTAATACTTGGTGACTTAAATGCCCACAACAGATATCAGCTGCGCTAACTGTATTATCTCACGAAACATCTCTTATTCTCGTAAAGATGTCTTCAAATGTCATTTAATTTTGTGTATCTTTCTGACTGCAACAAATTCATAAGTTTTATTTGTAGCTAACTAGATTTGAAACTGATAATCGAACCTAACTTTGATCTTTTAAAAAAATCTTCATAGTGCCAGTTTTTTTCTGAAATACTTTATACATTCTGCAACTCTACAACATTCTGGTTGTTGACTTCTCTGTATCTTATGCTTACACTGACCTTAATACTTCAAACTGTAGTTCAAGTACTGGTAAAAGATTATTGAACTGCTGGCTATAATCAGATATTTTCAAATAAATATAGGGTCACCGTCTAAGAAAATGACTTCCGCTCATGGTAAATTATTCACGAAATAGAGTAACCAAAATTAGTATTCTGACTTGTAGACACAAGATAAATTAAATAAATAAAATTTTTTACTCATATCAACATCCAATTATCTGACAAAAAATTTCATAAGGTAACAATCAGTGACTAGTTACGACCACAGAAACACCTAACCAATATGCTTTAACAAAATTTTCTAGAAACTTGACATTTCACAAATAAACGTAAGTAAAAAATCTTTTCTACAGGGCTCATATTATTACCCAAAAACAATCAAGCTCGAACCTTGAAACAGCCATGACTTGGAATCTCTCCGGAAGAGAATCTTACACTTAGGGATCCAAAGAGCAGCCTTTTTGCTGCATTAGATTATACTAAAAGCAACCCTCGAATTGTAAGTCACCTTCGTTGATTAGAAATTTCATCCATTTGAGCCCTTTGACTGACGTTCTAGCAAAACTTCCCATATTCTTTCCTGTCTGAAAAGCCCTAACTTTGCAGTGTTTTAGTCTCTCTCTGTAACCCACACTTTTCTGCACCTTAGAATATCAATCTAATCCAAAGCTGTTTTTTTCTTCAAAAATGTAAGCTCTTCAGATAAACTGTTCATAATGACAGGTTCGCGTTTCCTTTACTCTTCCATTTTTTTATTAACCTATTTCAATGTAAAACTCTTCCAACTTCACTCCTCCCTAGTTGCAATACAATGAATTTAGAAAATGGCTTTAAAAGCGAAGTGAAGCTCTATCAAACGAAACTGAAGCTTTATCTGTCAGTCCACAAAATGAATATTTTTAAGATTTAAAAAGCGCAATGGCTTCCCATCCTTCTGCAGTGTATAATCCTGAAACAAACGGTAAAATCGAAAACTTCATTGTCCTCCTCTCCCCCCCCCCCTTCCACTTAGCATGCTCTAGTTTTTCCCCAAAGAAACCAAAAATTGAAGCCCACAAATCAAAAATGTTATTTTTCTGATAGCGTAAAAAGAAAATTAGTTTCAAGTCCGAGTTTAAATGGTATCATTCCTTCCTGTTTACCGGCAAATTCAGCATTATTATTGGGTGTTTCTGAAACAAACAGACAGCGGTGAAACAGAATGCACATAAATGAGCACTGTTACTGTAAAAGAACATCAAACTACGAGTGTGAAAGAATTAAATCTACTAAACTTATTAGCATTCACTGACAAATTAGACCTCATAGCTGTCGATATAAAAACAATTTAGTTACTATTGCGACAATTACTGTAAGCGGTTTAATGAAAAATTAAGAGATCTAAATGAAAAACAAACAAAAAAGTAATAATAAGCATAATAAACGTAACATATTTATACTGTTGGTAAGTAATCTGAAAAAAAAAACCATGTTCACACATATGTCATAAAGGCGGGGGAAAAACAGCCAAATTATGCACACAAGATGAAGAGTCATCATTAAAAAATTTCAGAATACCTGCTTGATATTCATAGCCAAGCAAGAAATGTGTACACTGCACGCATTTACAAGCGCATACTCATACAGATAGAGAGACATAAGTTTAGTTTCTTATCTTGCTTCGAAATGAAGTAGGTGGTAACTATATTAGCTTATTAAATTGCCTTAAATTTTGTACATCTAATTAAGCCACCACTATGACTAACGCCCAACAAGGTAAAATAACAAAAAAAGAGTAAATAAAAAAATTTACAACATATAACACCTGTGCTGAAAATAGTACATACTTGGAAAAAAACTTATCGGTCTGCAAAATAAGGAACCAGCCATGTATTTTTGGTTCTAAAAGAGGTTAACAACCTAGTTACGTAACAAAATAATCAAAAACAAGCATCTTTTAAGCTCACGCAAAAAAAAGGTCATCGTAAACTTGGTGTAAATTATGGATGCACTTTTACTGACAACCTAAATTATAACGAAATCTCGACTTCAATTGCGTAATAAACAGAAATTAAAAAACGCTTTTTTCTTTCAAATTTAATTAAATCTAACAACAAAAAGATTTTTAAACAGTTTTGTTTAGTAACATCATGTATTAACAGGTCACCCCTACTTATAAACCGCAGTTAATTCAGAAGCTATTCAGAGTAGCCTCAATGAGTAACTGATTTAAATTTAAATTGAAACTTGTTAAAAGAAGCAATTAAATCAATACTTCAAGTACATAATCAAAAAACTGTTTCGGTGAAGAAAATATCAATTTTAAAGAATTAAAGATTTTAACCAAAATTAATAATAAATGTATGAGGACACCCCATTCAACGCTCAAAGAAAAACAGTGATCAAAACTGATTAACAAAACTGATTAGATGCTCGTACATACGTTTTTAGCCTTGCAGTTAACACCAATGACCATGAAAACACCAAATCAACAAAAACACCTGATCAACTCCATTTTCTGTCGGAACTTTGATATCACAGCTGTAAACAAGTACCAGCTAGCCAGAATACTCTGCTATAACTCTAATCGATCCGTTACGTGTGTACTTGGAACGGTTTTAATTTGATTGTTTTCGGCAAGGTTTCGAAAGTGTTGCGAATTCCGAAACTCCGAAAGCAGTGTAAACAAAACATGCAAAGACTGAATTCGAGATTTTCGTACTGGTATGTCAAAAAACAACAAACAGATGTCGACATATTCTTCCAGCGATGTATCCAGCGATGCCGAAGGAAGCTTAACGTAACCGAGTTTTAAGAGATTTTTGATCAACCAGTCAGAATTCACGTGTAATTCCGTTGCTAATCAATGACGAAACAAGTAATGTTCAAAAAAAAAGCCGAAAAGTAAAAACCTACGCTTTCGGTACTTAAAAGGTGCTCAATAATCGGCGGCCACTCCTGCATCAGACGTTCAATATCTGGCATTGGATTTGAATAATGCACTATATCTGATGGTTTCTTGCTGTGTAAACCCTAAGAAAGATAAAAAAAATTTCAACACTTTTCCACTCTACCTTTGATTCGTTAATGTCGAAAATTTACCAGAACCTTAATGCTATTAATCCACTGATCAATTTCAGTAGACTTCTTCTCAGCTCTGTCCAGCCTCTTAACTGGTGGGTCGGAATTAAAAGTATCTTTTGACTGGTTACGCAAGCGCATATTTAAAATTGTTGGATCAGTTTGTTCCACTGCTGGCTCGTCAAGTATGGTAACGCCAAGGTTGTCGTTAACCTTTAAAGAACTGGTCATGATACTTGTTAACCTACCGTTACAGCAAGTAGATTAAAAAAGACACTCAAAGATGCTGCTCTAAACAAGAAACTGAAGAAAAAAACTTGCCTGGTCAGGCCTCGGCACTTTAATCATTGGGTCCACTTCGCCTACTGCTGGAATGTAATCAAAGGTAAACGGTATCAGTTCAGGCTGAATGATTACCTTCTTGGCAATATAATTGTCCATACACCCCATAAGTTCTGTCATCGCTTCGGTGACAATGTAACCATTGTTCTCTAAAATAACATGTGGTCAAAGGAAAAACAGTTTGATTAATCACAGCGCTTTTTAATGTTCGCTGACGACTAGCAAATAAGCGAACTCAAATCTTGCAAAAAGGCTTGCACCTAACACTTTTGAGATTTATGCTTGTCCACCATTTTTCGGAATTTCTGCAAGTTGTACTTCTTTGTCTTACTCCCAGAAAATTTTAGTAGAGGTTTTTCATACACTATTATACGCCTTTAGAATCTCTAAAGTCTATAATATGACAACTTCTACACAGTATTAGGTGACAAAATACTTTCTCAACTTTTAACTACCTCAACAGTTCAACTTTCACCATTTCAAAACCCACTATACTTCCAAATATTTTCAACACTGATTTTTACCATTAATTGTTTCTAAACTATCTTATGTTTTTACTTGTATCAATCTTTATTGGAATAAGTAGGAACAATATAATATATAATGTATCAACACTCAATAGATAAGTAGCAGGGGAATGGCATAAACTAAGAAACAATACAAGAAAGAAATATGTAGGCGGTGTAGGTCGCTGTGGGACTGAAGGCGGCCCCGTAATAGGAATACTTAAGAACTAAAAGGGGAACAATAAGTGCTCCAGACAAGAAGGCCAACTTCTGGTGGCACAAAGGAACCTACTTTTACAGTGAGTCAAAGGTGTCTTCAGGGTCCCCAGGGTGTGGTCTTTGTGGTGTAAGTGACCTGATACCTGAAGCAAATGGTCTTTGGTCTAATGACACTACAAACTACTACTAATTTTCAACCCTCGACTGCATTCAAATTCGATCATCATTAGTATCTGGCATTTTTTTTTACTGTTTAAACCCTGCAGATTGAGAACTGTAACAATTAACAAGTAATGGTATAGAATTCGAAATAGCTACTATTATTTAACTATTAATTGCCCAAAACTGCTTTTGGATACTAACGGTTCATCAAAGAAATTGCTGCAATTGTTGCAAGTTCTCTCTAGCCCTAATAAAACCAAATTCATCAGTGAACTTATTTTTTAAAATAGCTTTTCTGGAGAACAATGAAGCAAGCAATTTGAGTTTCTCATAGTCTAAAAAAAAGCAGCTGCACTAGGGTTCAATCCAACGGTTAACTTTCGGTTCTAAAACAGTTGGATCACTGATCGAAAGATTCTTTCTCTTCATTTGGTCGTTCTTCCTTAATTCTTAACAAACCACTTAGTGTAACTACTGTTTTTCGCATCCCGTGTTCCACTTAAAAAAAAAATTGAAGATTTTTAAATAGCAATACTTCTGTCAGCTGTAAAAATGACAAACCAATTTAAGAATCTAGAGTGCAGCAGAACAGGCGGTTTGATACTTCAGTTTACTAGAGTTTTATATGTAATAATTCAAAGTGGCAAATCTAAAGAAATGATTTCAGATTAGAAGTCTTCAATGTATATGGTCATTCGAGCTACCAAAAATTTCTCTCCTTCTGAACCAGCTGTTAAAGTTCTCTAGGGGCAAATAAACCAACTTAAATCCCTTTAAAAAAATCAGTCATGCTGCAATCACTGGAGATTTTCCCTAACTAAGACTTTAACAGTTTCACACTTTGGTGAAGAAAATTAATTTTTTCATAATTATGTAATAAACAAAAAAGAATAGTGGTCCCGCAAGTTAAGCGTATTCAATTTGTTTGTGAAGAATTGGATGGTAATGTCCCACGTAGAAAACTTTTCATCCAAATTTATGAATTTTGAAATTCAAAACTAGAATTTGTTTTTGTTGTCCATGGGGGAGTCTTGAAAATTAAGCTTTGAAACTGGACTGTTCAATGTGGAGCAAATATGGTTGTGTTTTGTGATTTAAATTCTACCACTGGATTTCTGAATACTACCGCAGTTCAATACTAGTCTCCAAGACCGTTCCCTCTACGCTGCCAACGATCGCAGTGAAAAGTTTATCCTACCGGACACTTTTAGAAGGCTTAGAGTGACAAAAAGAAATAAGATTATGCTACTATACTTCTGCTCGAACCTCCTTAAAGTGGAGTTATTATGAACTACAATGTTTCGTGACCACCAAAAACAGAAAAAATAACGAACAAGAACACCTTGTGTAATGTGATTGAATCAAAAATTTGGAAGTTAATCGTACTCAATGAAATTTGCGGTAACGGTTAGTGACGCCCTATTAAACAAATCCTAGGAACATCATTTTACCTTTCTTCCAACCAGGATCATTGCCTTTGCAATAATCAAACATCTTGTTCTATCATATTTTTCAAACGTAATCTAATGCTGCGAGATACAATAGGGTTATCCTGTATGCATTTGCAGTCTTGAAAAATTTTACTCAAAGAAGTGGAAAATAGCTTGAAGTGTGAAATTAAGAAGCTGTAAGCTGTTGTCTAACCTTCCTGGTCAGAGTCCATGGCAGTTCCAGATAGATTTTCTTCTGTACCATCGTTGAGCATTGTAGTATCACGTCGCTGATGACAGATTTTTCTATTCTTTATCAGAGAAGCTAAAATTTAAAGAAATTAGACAGTTGATGATAACTCTAATAAAGTGGATGTTGACAGGAAAAAAACCACGGGCTAAAGTAGTATCAGAGTATAACAAGAAGAAAAGGTTTGAACTAGCAAGTACAACGCACCAAACAGTAAGCAGAGAATATATTTATATTTTAAAAATGAGATAATTTGAAATAAAACACCATCATACTGTTGACAGTATGCTTTTGTACTGAGTTATAGTGCTATTCTTGTAACCAAATTAATTTTTTTTTTTTTTAAATGCCTATAAAAGATTGGTGATAAAATAAGGGCCCAAACGTTAAAATTTTCTCAATATACAGCTGGAGTTAAAGCCGATCCAGAAATTCAGATAATCAGCTGATAACTCTTGACTCTTTCAGCCACTGTGTCATTAATAGTTATACGAAGCATGTGTACCAGGACCAAGGAGCCAACACACTGCTTCCAAAGCAGTAATTACACAGCCTTAATAAAGCTGGTCTGCTCCTTCATTGTTAACTACAACGTTTGCCATGGCAACGCCGAAAAAACACCGATACCCATCAGTCGTGAATATGCCACCCATTTAGGACGCAGCGGAACCCAGCGCCCAAATTTAGCCGGAAGATGAGGATTTAACGCACTCCAGACAGCCAAACTATAGCTATATAGAGAGTGCCACTCGATTACGATATATGGACAGTTCTATGTTAAATTTCATAAAAATTTTTCAGTCGATTCATTAGGACTTCAAATTTTGCTGATTAGCAGAGTCTGGCTCTTCAAGAAAACAAGGAGACATATTGAATAGACTGACCCTGTAGCCAAGCTAGAGCGCAGTCAAAAATCAAATACATTTTATCCTTTGCTGAAACAAAGTTTCATCTAGATACAGTACACGTGAATAAAATTAATAAGTTTCTGACTGGAATGATGATTTATGCCCTGTCGATAATGATCCATATATATTTTTACATATGTTTTATGTACTTCTGAGAATTAAAAAGAAGTAAACTTAAAAGTGTACAGCAAAAAAAAAATTGATCTGCTGATTTTTCAAAACGACGATAACCTTTGATACAGGTTAAAAAAATTCCTTAGTCATTTCTCAAAGGAAAACAACCAAACCACCAAAAAACATGTCACAGAAATAGCAGATGCAGCTCATAGCCGACAAGCGTCCAAATGCACCAATCTTTAGGAGGAGTACTTATTCGTCGTAATACATAATTGTTTCTATCAAATGTGCCTCAACTTCTTTTCTGGTGTGACTGTACGCAGTTAAAAAATTTTCTGCCGTTAATAAGAGAATTGTGAAAAAAAATTATTTTCTTGAGCAGCATACCGCTCATTAATTTGTAACAAGCAAAATTCTTTTCTTTGTTTTTAAATTTGTATTTACATTTTTGCTTTTCCCATTATGCAGTGTTTAATCATTGGCGAAAAAAACAAATCACTTTAAAGTGATGGAAACGATACAAATGAACATTTTCCACATTTTCAGAAAACAGAGAACACTAGAGTTTTTATTGTTAGTAAGCATTCATCTGCTTGTCGCTAACCTCATTGAACTAGAATGTAACTAATATCTGAACACTTTTAAAGTTTGTGTCGAACTTTTGAAGGTATGAACGACATTGTTTAGAGGCGTGTTGGGAAGTTAGTTCACTGTATTACATTTGCTTGAATGCATTTTGATGTTTGGTGGGTTTTTTTTTGTCTTATTATGTAGAATTGAATCACTAGTGACTGCTTCACATTCGCACCGAAATATCCAATTTGATTATTTTGAATAATAAGGTGTTATAGAGATGAAAAGATTTGAGAAGACAAGAGCATAGAGACTTTGCTAGATATCGACAAGAGGAAGTGAAAGAAATTCCTCTCAGTTTTGATCATACAGCACGCATAAATAGTCCACCATCACTCCTTTAGTAATTTTTTTTTATTGCTCTTCTTTTAAGTGCTAAGTCATGATTTAGAAGCCTAAGTGTAACCAACTTGCATTTAAATTTATTGAAGTAGTGAAAAGACCTACAAATTGGTAATCCTGCAGCAAAGCAAGCGCTTCCTTCGCTCAAGAAACATTTTGAAATTATAGTGGCGCTGAACCGACTTCCAGAATTCTAAGAGCTTACACAGGCGGAAACGAAGACTACTTAGGACCTAATAATAGGTAGCCTGGATTATTATGAAAGTAATTAGTTAATTTCACTTTTATGCTATTAATCCAAAGCTGCATTTGGCCTCAAAGCACTTTTCATTTCAGCGATGCATGTGAACTGTTGTTTGACTGTGCTTGTAAAGGAAGTGGGTTTTGAATGCATAGAATCGGTCAGGGATTTCCTCATCGTGGAATTAAAGCACAGCAGTGAAGACATGACAAGTGCGAGACATCGTCAGGAAAGCAACGAGGAAATATGTCCAAATAAAGTTATATAAATTAGTGTTATACTCCTCGATGATTCATTTCATTAATTTCTAATAATTCTGGCTAGAATTGTTGAATAACGTGACGGTTATTTATTGTTTTTTTCAGATACCTGTCTATACAGATACTGTCGTTTTGAACATTATAAGTTTATATAGTTTTGTTTCCAAATGTATGGCACAGCAGTACCTGATGCTCCTAAGAAGACAATACGACCAGTATTTTAAATGTAATAGGATTTCCAGCTTGCCATTTACGAGATTTAATCACAAAGTAAGGGGGACAAAATACGCAGTTGTAACGCAGTTTTGACGAGAACTCAGTAGTTTCCGATATGACTGTGGTGAGTGGTAACCAACGGAGAATTTGGATTGTGCTTTTACTTGACCGATTACTGCTATCCGTCTCGCCACTCTAACGGGAGCACACGTTGAAGGAAGCTGTACATGTCAACAAGTTCGTCAATCTGTAAAAAGAAAAAAAAAACATTTTGTGAGATCAAGAAAGCAATTTGTTTTCCTTCAGCAAGCTGAAAAACCCTAAAGTTGACCAATTAATGTTCCTTATAAATATCAAGTATATAAGTACAATTTTGCTAGTGGGCTTCCCAGCCCCGTGGCCAGCTTTCACCTCGACCCTAATGAGTATCGGGTTTTTCTGTATGAGTTCTGAATGCTTCACTGCCTCATAAATCGTTGCTATGTATTTAAGAGAATGCGACGGTACGACGCGGTCATCGTGATCTGCAGTCATGAGCAATGTGGACGGCCACTGTACTTCTAAACGAGCTGGAAGATTGTGTAAAGGCGAGTACCTTAAAAAAGATAGTCTATTGCAAAAACTTGCTTAAGGAAACAGAAAAGGAAATAACTGATATTGCTATAACTGCATAAAACCAAATGACAAGAACAAATAATTACTTGTAGATGAACGGGAAGTCTGAAGCATCGTCAGGGTTGCCATACTCAGGAATCCAGGCTCCTCCTACAGTGAATTTGTGATAACGAAGCATGTCCAGTACACTAAATCAGGACTAATCCATCAAAAAAACATATATGATTTCTGTCAGAGGATCACAGAAAAATGATAACAACTTTGATTTTCCCAAAGAAATATATTGCAGTTTTAAGAAAAGCAGCTTGAGGGTATTAGAGTTCACAGCAGCTAGCAATTCACAAATCCAAAGCTCGTACTCGAACGTGTTAAAATCATACCCAACGCGATTTATAACAGCACCAAACAGTCCAGGACGCTGCTGTGAACACGCAGCAACTAGCAGGCCACCGTTAGAACCACCATGAATTGCGAGTCTAGACAACCAAAAATTATAAATCGAATTAAAACAATAAGCGGGTCATCACGCAATATGATTCCACTTATCACTCGCTTACAATCCAAATGTTTTCTAAAAAACGACACATTTTAAAACCGTTATATGAAAAAACCTACCGCTTCGATGAAGTGTATTTACCGTTAATTAAGTATTCTGCAGCAGCAATAAAGTCATCAAAAACGTTTTGCTTGTTTTCCCTCATCCCAGCTTCATGCCATCTTTCACCATACTCACTACAAGTTGACAAAAATTAATCTACAGCCAGCTTTTTGTTAACCTCTGTTCTATGGAAATCACGAGGGCACCTGCCACCACGAAGATTAGCGCTGGCATATATTCCGTTGAAATGCTTTAAAAACAGCAACCGTGACACAGAAAAGTACGGCAAGTCAGCAATATTGAATCCGCCGTAACCATTTAGAATAGTAGGATTTGCTCCGTTAAGGACCACATCCTTCCTTGATAGTATATACATTGGAATCTGAAATCAGCAAAGACTAGTCTGTTATTTAATTCAACAACAGTAAAACAAAAAAAGGAAATACCTTCGTGCCGTCTCGGCTTGAGTAGAACACCTGTTTCGAGCAAAACTCGTTAACATCTATGTCTTTCAAAAATACCCGATGAATTTCCTTAAAATGCAGAATCCACAACAATGGTAAATGAAGAAGAGTTCAATGAAAGCACTACTCAACTGCTTCAAAAAATCCAGCAAGATGTCTGAAAGTCAAGGAAGATCCTCTAAAATGAGCCTCTTCAATCCCAAATTTAACAGAAAATTACTGCAGCATTTTACCCATGAACCTTGAACAGAAAAAGACCTGAAAGCTGTGTTTCTCTAAAAAAGCAAAGAGAAATATCATTACCTTCAACTGGACATTTTGAGAGCTAGTGGCCTCCTTCAAGTCTAAGTGGTAAACTATACCAGGAGTAAAAAACGACTCAAACAAAACGAAAAACTCAGAAAGCTCCTTTTTTCCAAAGTAAACAGAAATGGATCCGATAGGCAAAGGAAGTCGGCAAATCCGTTTCCCAGTTCTTACATCGTGAAGGTATAAAGTTGTCTAAAACAAGTTTCTATAAACTAAAGGCTGTACGGGTCAATAAATCAATCTGTCCGCTAACTACTGCAATCAAGTTCAAAATTTTACACGATTCCTCTCAAAGAAAGTATGGAACGCATAACAATTCAGTTTCTTTTTCATAAAGTAAGACAAACAGTTCCGCTTTATAAACTGCAAAACTTAACACTTTTTTATTTACAGTGAAAAAATTGTTTTTTTTTTGGCATTAAAAAATGTTTCTCGAAAATCAATTGCCAGTGGTAATTTAAATAAAAAAGAATTTAAAAATTTCCTATAATCGGTCGCGTACTTCCTTCCAAAATATTTTTACGATATACCTTTACATCTTCTATGTAAGCCGCAACCAAGTAATCGTTATACACTCGAACTACCCAATCTAGTTTGAATTTTTCGTTTTCTGCTATCACTGTTTCCCAACTTTCTTTATTATCACTCTCTTCATCCATATTCACACGAATCAACTTGCACATTGGTGCATTCGCGTTCGTTAAAACCAAGGCCGTATTATCGTCATTGTCAATAAACTGAAATCACTTCCTTCAAACTTAGTTTCGATGATGAATATTAGAAAACAAATTTTTTTCAGTCTGCGAAAAAACTTATAGTGGAGTGGTAAAGGTGTAAATGAAGCAGCACCTCGTACTTTGCGTCGTTCTTCACAAAAAGAGGAGTTAGTTCTAGTTTCCCATTAATTTGATTGTTTGCCTTTTTAAGATCATAAAAGTACAAAGAATTGACAGGATCGCAACCTTTACTGACGCCAGCTATTAAATATCTCCCATCTTCCGAAACCTCAGCACTACTACAAAATAAAGAATAAAATACAGTTTGAAACGAATAAAAAGTTCCGACAGTTGAAAAAAGCAATATTTCTTCTTAAAAACTTTATTGCCAAAACTGCAAAACTTCAACTATATGACGATCACAAAAAACGCAAAATACTAACCACATAAGTTCTGGATCCCACCGAAAGTCTGCAATTAATACGTCTTCTTCAGAAGACCCTAATTTATGGTAATATAATGATTGGAAAGAGTGCTTTTCTGTTGAACAACCCTCTAGCGCACTTTTGTGATCTGGATATTTCTGAAATTTGCTCAGATTCTCTGCTGCGAAATGCACATGCAGTCGTTTTTAAAATTTGAAACATCTTTGAGAAAAGCGTTAAAACTCCTCAAAGCAAAAAAAATTCATGTATTATCTTTAGACTTACTGAATATATTACGCCGCTGTTGTTAGAAAGCCAGGCAATACTGCTGTGCTTTACGCCACGCACGATATCCGTCATGTCCTCTCCGTCGACTTTGCGAAACTGAAACGAGCTTAATCTCATTTGGATCATCTGTTTGGTGGAGCTATGATAAAGTTGGTCAGTATTTGAGAAGGTATTTTGAATGTTTTTTACTGATGCTCCGCAGACTATTCATTGCGAACAGTATTCTTGCATGAACAGATAAATTGAAAATATATATATACCTTCAACAAAAGTTAAATGTTAGACCTAAACCTCTTCAGTGATTCCCAAGCCGACACCAGAGTACCCACTTAGTAAATGATTAAACAAGGCTTAAAACTTCGCAGTTCAACCAGCATCAATCTTTCAATACACAACGCTACTTGACAGTTTAAGATATGTTTTACGTAATAAAAAAAGCCGGAAACATTCATCAAGAAAGTGCAAGATCAATTTTAAAAAAGTATACTTGGAGAGTACTGCAGGGTTAAAAGCTAATGATTCTAAAATATCTCTGAGTTAAAAATGTGCTTTTAAGCAAACACTAAATACGTTCAATCACAAACTATTAAAACGGTATAGAACCTTAAGCGTCACCCAATCACTTCCCGCTTCAGACAAACCGTAGGCCAAAATGGCTCCATCTGGAGAAAATCGCTGTATGCTGACTGACGTAGTTCCATCGTCGGAAAAGACGTTAGGGTCCAGAAACACCTCAGCCTTACCACCCAACTCCTTCTGTCTGTACAAGACACTGAAACAACACTGTGATCATTTCATTTCTCCTCAAACATAAGGAAAATCAAAAAATAATCCGCTACAGTTATCGATTAGCAAAAACATTAATAACAATTCTTATAATCCTTATACCTTTGGTTTTGCAACCCAGTATTATGATAATAATAATAGAAGTCTCCGTGCTTGCTTGTGCATCCGTACCTCTCATAATTCCACATTTCTGTTATTCTAAAAAGTAATGCTTGAAGTTAACATGCAAAATTTGCTTCGGCAAAAACTGCCCCTTACCAAATGAAACTTTTGTTCAAATTGAGACATTTCAAAATACAGTGCAACCAGTGAGTTATGAAAATTTTCCGGTATACTGGTAAAACCGGCTGTAAAACAAGACAAAATTAATACTTTTCACTGAGCTTGCTTCGTAAAGAGCATGCCTTTAAGAAAGGTTCTGAAATCTTATTCAATTCTGCAACGTAGTTTTTGGTTTCTTCAGAATCCGGGTCTTCCAACCAGCGATATGGGTCTCTAACCTTAAAAAGTAGGCATCAGCTCTGTACTACAAACTAGAAAAATCATTTCAAGAAACACAAACACTAACCATTGTTCCATGATAGTTATCAATAACTGTCTCATCTTTTCGCCCAAGTGGATACTCAGATGGATCAATGAACACTGACTCCTCATGAACCATCGTTAGGTTCCTACAGCTATTATTTGGTCGAGAAAAGTAACTTGTGATACCTTAAAATGTTATTCTACAGTATCTTGATTATGTAAACAACATTATTTAATCGCTCCTTCTCCAGACCAATGTCAGTAAATTAAAAACAAAATTTTGAGAAGTATGAGTAAAAAACTATTGGTCATTAAATAATATTTCTTTTCAATTCCGTTACCTAATCTCGCAATGCCGGTACAGAGTTTTGGAGGCCAAGAAATCAAACTTCTGTACCAACAGAAAGACAAAACAGAAAGATTCCCAGTCAGAGCCACTGAAATCATATAACTTACTTTATATGACTAGGTGCGTCGAAATTCCAACCAAACAAGTTACTAATGTCAAATAACTAATTTAACAATTTAAGCAATTTAAATACCTCACCGACATATAATCCAGTTCAATGATGGAAATATAGTAAGGAGAATTTGAATAAACTAAAAAAGAAAAAGTTAAAAGTAAAGTTAAACAAGGTACCTTTGAAAGGCAGAATCAGTGTTTTAACGTTACTCGTCCGCTAGATGCAGTAGATAAAAATCAAAAAAATTCTTCGAAACTGATCGAAGCCGTTCAAACTAAAATACTATTAAACAGAATCTATCAGAAATATATGCAATGAATATCGTTTAACGATACTCTTAGAGTTCAAAAAACAATACCAACATGTCCAGCAACGATGACTTGAGTATACATATAGATA